AAGAACAAGGAAAGGAGATGTAAGACACCAGAGAAAATGGAGGAGAGAGCTGGTGTCTTGGTATTTAAAGAAGGAGGTAATAATCAGCAGAAACAAAACTGGCATGCACGAAAACAAAATGAGTACAAAGGGCTGGGATGTAACTCAGTGGCAAAGTGCTTGCCTAGCAAATGAAACGGCCTGGGTTCAATCCCCAGTACCAAAGATGAAAAGACAAAAAGAAAAGAAAATGATGACAACTCTGTCAATTGGATTCTGCAGACACGAAAGGGGTTGAGGTGGGTGAGATGGGAGAGGGTAACAAGCGACCCTGTGCTTCCCAGACTTGTTTCTTTGTGGCACATAAAGATTATCTTTAAATGGAATATTATTTAGCTGAGCAAGGTTGCTTGTAGCTAGAAGCAGTGCTCTACATAGCTGCTCCTAGGCCTGAGAAGACCAATACCTTCTAATACCTGTGACTAGTTGTAGTTTACCAACAGAGAATGGCTGTGAACAGGGTTCACAGTGGGCCTGGAATGAAGAGAAGGATTGCTAGGTTTATTTAGTTGTTTTTTAAATGTCTTTCATGGATGTTTTTTAACTTTTTTTTTTTTTTTTTTGGGTCCGGTCGTGGGGCCTGAACTCTGGGCCTGGGCACTGTCCCTCAGCTCTTCAGCTCAAGGCTAGCGCTCTACCTCTTGAGCCACAGCGCCACTTCCGGCTTTTTTTCTTTTTGCTTATGTGGTGCTGAGGAATCGAACCCAGGGCCTCAGGCATGCAAGGCAAGCGCTCTACCACTGAGCCACCTTCCCAGCCCCTGTTTTTTAACTTTTTAAGATAAGTATTGCTGTAAAGTGTAATCCTCCTCCTACCCTGGCTTCCTGTGTGCTGGGATTACAGGTGTTAAGTACCATGCCTGACCTCAGCCGGTCTTAAAGTGAAGAAAACTTAAGCATCTTTCAAATTTATCTACAGAAAAGATCTAGTAGAAATGGAGTGGTTGAATTCATGGAAACCAAAACAGCAGAATGCATCTCATATAAGTCTCATAAGAAGGTATTAAAGTAAATAAAATATCATGTAGAGCATACACTAAAAAACACTGCCATGATACAGACTTAAAATGTAAAGACTAATGAGGTTAAGGCACTGTTCCCATTCCCTCCCTAGTAACCAGCATAACCAGGACTATAATTCATATTTTTCTTAAAACTCCTAACAACTATATTTAGGTTTATCTTGAGCTCACACTGTACAAGACCTGGAATCACAAAGATAAACTCAGCTCACTCATTATATTTGAGGAGATCATGGACTCAGAGTAGAAGAAAACAAATACAATACAGCATGATAAATCAAAATGGGACCAGAAGAAAATGCTTTAAGAAGTACAAGAGATCACAGCCAAATATATGCCTATACTTTCCTGAGCTTATGAAGGCAGAGGTGGATTGGATATAGCTAAGAGGTTTTGTAAGTTTGAAGGATGGAAGAAAGTGTGGATGGGTTGTTGAATGGATGACTATTGGATACGTTTCAGTATCTAAGAGTCCCTCCTTAGATCAACTCTTGTCCATATATCCACAAGAGGTCGCTGCAGACCTGATGCAAATGAAGTTTTTCTATTGGCCCTTTCAAGATCTCTCCAATTGTTTAAGGAAAGGAGGGGGGGAAGGTTGATGACTGGATGCCTCATAGCAATTCCTGCCTCTTTGGGCCAGGCCAGATCTTAGTTCGAAGTCTGGGTCCACCTTCATCCTACTCTCGCTTTGTCAGCTCCTCCCCTAAATTCTAGGCCGATGGCACACATCTCCAATTTGTTCTCATCATAGAAACTAACTCAGAAATGGTACCCAGTCTTTCCTTGGACCTCCACTTCCCACGAGGAATGTAGCTACACTCGCAACAGGCTGAATGGGTTGAGTGAGTTCCTTCACACATTACTTCATCTTTCTAAAAGTCCTCACCAATAAAAGCTCAGGTTGAGAGGAAGGCTCTCATACCTTCCTCATCAGAGGCCTAACATGGTCTCTAATCCAGTGATAGCCAAGAAGACATTCAGGAGCTATCTGTCTTATTTAAATTAGAGTCATTAAAATAAGAAACAACTTGCCAGGCACCAATGCCTGTAATCCTAGTTACACAGGCTGAGATCACGGGATCCTGGTTTGAAGCCAGCCCAGGCAGACACATCCCAAAGGCTTTTATCTCCAACTAATCAGCAAAAAGCCAGAAATGAAGGTGTGGTTCAGGTGGTAGAATACCAGCCTTGAGTGAAAAAGCCAAACAAAGAACAAGTCCTGAGTTCAAACTCTAATACTGGTATGCGCGCATGCATGTACACATGCACACACACACACACACACTTCCGTTCTTCAGTCTCACCATCTAATTGCAAGTGGGCAACAGCTACTTATAGCCAGGAGCTACTGCGCTGGGCAGCCAGAGAATATTTCACTATCACGGAACGTTCCATTAGACAGCAACATCTCAGTGCAGCACACGTTTTCCTTCATTTAACCTTCATTACATTCCTATAATACAGGGTAATTATATATCTCTTTCAAGATAAGGAATTTTGAGGCACAGCAAATGTTGGATTTAGCCAAGGGCTGTGAGCAGATTAGTCTCTGGAGTGAAGATTCAAGTTGGGGTGCTTGGCTCTATACCCACTCTGTCTCTATGCCCAGAGCTGCCCCTCACCCCAGATCTCTACACTCCCCTCTGGCCTCCTGGGAATTGAGCTACCTTTTCTCATTCCCAACAGCCATTGGCCCTCACAGCTGCTACCCAGACACTGATCTTGAGCAATGATGGCACCTAGGATCCAAGCCCCTTGTAGAAGAAAATCTTCATCTCCAATTCTCCATTCCCATGGAGAATTGCTATTGTTGTTACAGGTTTGGGGGCCCTTCCTTAGCCCACAGAAGTCTTAACTCAATGTCAATCTGAGTCCTATAAGATTCCTAACCTGTGCAGTAGCCCCAGGGCCACCTTCTTCCCCAAAGGAAAGATGTTCAGTAAGCCCAACTCAGGGCAATGGACTTACCTCTGAAGGTACAGAAGAACCTCACTCGGCAGAAGTGATTGTCAAGACAAGCTGCATTTTACACCATTAGCTGTTGGAACCCAGTCCCTATCGAAGTAGCTGGGGCAGAACTGCAGCAATTTGGTGTGTAAACCACCGCGGATGTTCTCAAGTTAGACCACTTGTGGTTGCCCACCCCCATCTCTCTCAGGCCCAGCTGCTTTTTTGCAGGGCATCTGCTACCCACACCACCTGCAGCTGGAGACAACGCATATCAGGAAAAACAAGAGAATGACAGAGAAAAATATAGAGATGTTAAGACTTTTAGGCAGATGGACAAGATATCCCACTCCTAACTTATCTCCTCCCTTCTTTCACTCCCTCCTGAATATGAAGTGACCCTACCTGCCCCCCAAAATTGCTAGGTTCAGGATATAGAGAGTCTAGGATGAGAAAACAAAAAATGCACCTTCTCCCTTTCTGCTTTCAGCAATAAGCATGCTGTATTTCTTCCACAGTATATGAAGCTTCTCATCTAAAGACTTCCAGGAGCCAAGAATTGGTGGCTCAAGTCTGTCATCCTAGCTAGTCAGGAGGCTGGGATCACATTCAAAGACAGACTGGGCAGAAATGTCTGTGAAATTCTTATCTCCAATTAACCAGAAAAAAAAACCTGGAAATAGAGCTATGGTTCTAGTGGTAGAGGGCTAGCCTAGAGTGAAAATGCCAAGCAAGAGCATAAGGCCCTGAGTTTAAGCCCCAGTACCAGAACAAACAAACAAATAAAAAGAAAGATACCTCCAGGGAAAAGTCTAACATGGACTATATCTATAATCCCATATTCAAGAGGTTAAGTCAAGAAGGTGATGAATTAAAAGGCAGCCTGAGCTACATAGTATGATCCTGTCATAAATATATAAATAGGTTTTCAAGGAAACCTTATCACCAGAAAGGGCTTCCTAGTATTTTTACTAGACTCTTCCACATTTTTCCTTAAACTCCCGGAGTGTTCTAAGTTCTGACTCATAGATGATGGAGATACACTCTGATGATTGGCTCTTACTCTGTGAGGGGCGATGGAGTAGTTTCCAATTGTTATCTAGCCCAATTATCATCTACTTTAATTATCATCAATGAGCACTCTTGTGCATGCGTTTTGATGCCCCTACATATGCCTTCCCATTTAACTTATTGTTAGGAAGGGGCTGAGTCAACAGGTAGCCATTATTTTACTTTTAGGAGATTCTGCCCAGCCATTTCTCACTGTATCAATTTTTGAGCCTGTGCACAGGGAGTACATTATGACAGGGAGCATAAGGTGAGGTAAGCTGTTCACCCCCTGGCTCCTGGGAAGCAGTGGTAGAGGAAGAGACTGATACCCACATCCCACAATCCTCTTTGAAGGCATGCTCTGATGACTTAAGACCTCCCATTAAGCTCTACCTCTTAAAGGTCTCACCACCTCCCAATAGCATTATGGACTAAGACCAAATTATTTAACACATGGGCGTTTAGGGTCCATTCCAGAGCTATAGAAAGGGGGGACCTCAAAGAAGTAGAGGTCTCTCTGGGATTTGGGGTAGGATGCAGACAATTTTAGTGTTTTCAGTTTTATGCTATCCCCCAGACAAAGAAAAGCTGAGAGACAGTTCTAGAAAGTCTCTTTCTAAAGGATCTTTTCAGTGGATATATCTCATAGCCATGTTCTATCCTGTTCCCTGGAGTGAGCTTTTTGAAGCCACAGAGAGAATGTCAGCAAGCATTTATATGCCATTTACTTGATTCCTGCAGTGTTTATAGTCAAGAAAACCAATATATTTAATAAACTTCAACTGAAAAGGAAATACCACTTTGAGCTTTTCAAATTTCTCCCCCACTTCCTCTAGTTAGACTACCAAGCTATTACACCACCCAGATCACAGGAGGCCATCTGTTCACCCTGGACCAGAGGCCTGGGAGCTCTCCCTCCACTTCACCTCTGCCTGCAGCCTTCCTTGTGTTTCCAGATCTGTACTAGAATGGACACCATACTGCTATGGATGGTTATACTCCTCTTTGGTAAGTCACTGAGCCCAGACATCCACTCCTGTGATACCAAGTCCTCTCGGAGGCTGAGACATACACTCATGTGGGCATGCTTAGGGGAAATGGACACAGAAGTATGAGGAACTCTGTTGTGTTCTTTCCTTTTATTTTGTTGTGGGGTGTGTGTGTGTGTGTGTGTGTGTGTGTGTGTGTGTGTGTGTGTGTGTGTGTGCCCATGCGTGAGTGTGCACACGCACTCGTCAATCCACTTAGGGCCTGGATAATATCTCTGAGCTCTTTTGCTCAAGGCTAGCACTCTTCCACTTGAGCCACAGTTCCACTTTCAGCTTTTTTGGTAACTAATTGGAGTTAAGAGTCTCACAGATTTTCCTGCCTGGGCTGGCATAGAACCACGATTCTCATATCTCAGCTTCCTGAGTAACTAGCATTATTACAGGCACCAACGGCCTGGTTTTGCCATAATTTTTATTCTATTTTCTTGGCAGAGTAGACCCTCAATGTGTCAGAGGTAAATTAGGAAGGCAGAAGCACATTCTGCGGTCCTCATTTTCCAATGACATTTTTACCCAGTGAAATCAAATTCAAAGACTTATCGGGGCTGTCTCAAAAAGAAAACAAAGATTAAAGGAAAGGCCACTGCAGACACAATAAAAGAGATGAGAAAACTGAGGAAAGACGTTCATGCACTCTGTAGATCAATGAGAGGTGAGATTATAAGATAAAGTATACTTGTGTGGCCTTTGCCTTTTCTTAAAACCTCTTGCCAATGACCTGACTTTTCAAGAGCTCAGTAGCTATGTGCATATGATCATATAAAATTATGCTTATTATAATGAACTCCAAGAAATGGAAACGAGTTTTTTATTGTACCGTTTGTAGTCCCTCCCCCAGATTTTGTTTATTTCCTTTTGTCACTGTTTTGTAAATTTTTTTAATTTCTGTACCCTTTGTCTTGTATATAAGTTTATCTGATTTGGGGAGGGAAAGAGAAGCACAGAAATGTAGGGACGAAGGGTGAATGAATTCAGTAGTGATACTCACTAGACACTATGTTGGAAATGAGCTTTACAACATGGGAGTTAGGGGGTAAGGATGGAAAACACTGGGAGAAAATGAGAGCAAGGATGACACTGTTCAAAAAGAAATGAACTCATTACCTGACTTATATATAACTGTAACCCCTCTGTTCATCACCTTTACAATAAAATTAAAATAAAAAATAAAGATTAGATATAAAACATTATATTAGATTGGTAAGACTCTGGTGAGGGGCTAAAACAAGTCTTGTGCACTGACTAAAGCCTTTTTGAATTTGACCCTTTCTCTTCTGCTTCTACTGCCTCTATCTTCTTACCATTGGGAGTATGGTGAGCTTGGAGTCTGATGGTTTGGGGGTTGGTTTGAATTCTCAAATCTATTTTCTCTGACCAGTATCTCTCTCTTCTCTCCCCTTCTGTCCATGCCAGCTGGTCATGCAGTGACGAAAGGAGCTGTTCTCTGTGTATAGGCTACAATGGGAATATTCTCTGCTTCTACCCCCAATTCAGCTCTATATCAATCAGTTTCTCTATGCTATATCTCAAAGACACAATTTGTGCATGTATTTCATTTCTTCTGAGAGTTTCTGAGTTGACCTTTTTAACTCGGTTCCAATGATTGGTTTGCTTATTTGTTTGTTGATTGATTTCATGGGAACAAAAATGTAAAACTATACCTTTCCACGACTTTATACAAGTAACAGCCTTTGGGCCTATCTAGATAAAGAATTCAAGAAATCCAGGATTTGGATAGAAACTAGCAAAGTTGGGAGAGGGTAGCCAGTAATCAGCTGACTGGTATAGTATCATGGAGAACCAGACACTGTAGGCCAGACTTGATGCTCAGAGACTCCAGAAGATACAACCCCCCAGGGCTGGGCATGGAGGTACAGTTACCGTACATAAAGAGTTGCTATTTCCTCTCAAATGTGGACAAAAAGAGAGGGAGGGAAAAAAAACCACTAAATGACTACTTTGTGCTATATGAATCATCTAACCTTTAGAAGCCTACAAGGTAGTTAGTTTTATCCTTATTAAGTGGTGGAAGAGGCAAGGATTCAGAAAGATTAAGAAACTTTCCTGAAATCAGAGACACAAATGCAGCCCCACCTGAAGTCAAACCTCATGCTTTCTCCGTTCTGTCTATAGTCAGACACAGCTGGGTTTTAATTAAAGAGCAGTGGGAAATAATAATTCATTGAAACTATCTAGCAAGGCATGGTCTCCCTCATAAGTGGCTACTACTATTATTTGCTCTCAAAGTTCCAGAAAGTTAGGGGGCTCTGATTCAAACATGCTAGCACATGGCTGAACACTAAGTATATAAAGTTTGGAAAATGGTTCTGAGGATTAGCCCACTCCCCTTCCTACTGGAGCTCACCCTCAGACACTCACATACACAGCTTCCATGGCACACTCCCAGAAACATGGAAGCCACCTTCGGCAAAGTAGCATATGCCACCTTGATAAAGCTCAGGCATGAGATTGTTCTTTATGTTGAGCTAAAAGCTGCCTTCGTGGTGGCTCTAATTAGTCTCTCTTCTATACTGTGAAATGACTCAGAACATAGTCTCTCTCTGCTTTTAAACAGACTACCGAATGATTGAAGACTTAATATACTCCTACACTATTGTCAATAGAGTAAATAATCCCAAATCCTTCAGCAAATCTAATAGGAAATAGCTTCTAGACCTGTTTTCTACCTTATTCTGTTTGTCTTGGTATGCTTTATCAACACACTAAGGAGCAGGACTTTCTGTTCCCTCGCTTTATGGACTGACTAGCATAGATTCCAGGGGGAATGCTGCTTCCCCCTGTTTGGGACTACAGTGCAACTTAGTTTGACAATAGCTTTTGGTCGTCATTTGACACTGCCACACATCATCTTTAGCCTACAGTTAACTGCTATCTCCAAGCCCACTTTACAGGAGCAGCTATATAAGCAGGAGTCACTCTGAGTGTTCCCAGTTGACTGGCATCTTGATCATAGACTGAAGTTCTACTATCCAAACTCCAAGGTCCAAGACTTGGAGACTAGAGATCATTTAAAGTGGCTCTGCTCTCTAGATGACTTCTCCCCTGTTATGAAGTTCAGGTACCCTCAACCACTGTTTATTCACCATTTTGTACTTACAAAATTGTTTCCCAGTAAGGAAGGAAAGGCAGAAAGGCAAAACTGCAGAGCAGTTTCTCAGTCACCCTGAAGTTAGGCTTTCTTTCTGTTTTCAGTTAGTGTCATAACCGCTGTCTCAGGCAGTGGGTTAATATAACCTTTACCTCCATGCTGTAAAAAGGATATTACCATTATCATTCCCATTATATGATAGAACAAAATGAAGAATTGGAAGCTCTTGTAATTTAGACAGTGTATCCAAGCTCACACAGAAAGAAGCAGATCTATGAGTCTGATCCATGTCATCTGCTTCTAAATATTGCATGCTTCCTTTACTTGTTATTGTTGCTTTCGCACCAGTACTGGGGCTTGAACTCAAGGCTTGGCCTATTCTACTAAAGGCTGGTACTCTACCATGTCCATATCTCCACTTAAGGCATTTTGCTGGTTAATTGGAGCTAAGAAGTTCACAGACTTTTCTACCCAGGCTTGCTTTGAACTATGAGCCTAAGATCACAGCCTCCTGAGCAACAAGGATTATGGGTGAGAGATACTGGTACCCAATTCCTGCATGCTTTCTACTACAACAACCTCATCAATTGAGGAAGAAGGAGAAAAACAATTAGAGGGATCCAAAGAAAGGGATCCTCACAATTCTTCTTACATTTGAGAACTTATAACTGAGCTGATCATGAGCTAAGAAAATTAGCCTGAAAAGCTCCATATCCAAAATAGTGATACATGTCCACTCTTACAGGGTAACACACCACACTTATGATAGTTTTTGTTGCTGTGAGAAAAATTAACCTAAGGCTCATAATTTCCAAGGTTTTTGTCCACATTTGTCTATTAGGCCTGTGGCAGGGTGGAAACATCATGGTAGGGGAGTATGGTAAAGGTAAGTGTCTCACCTCACGGTAGCCAGAGCAGACAGAGTAAGCAAGGAAGGGGCATATATTCTTTCATGTCACATCCCAGTATGTTCTCCACAGAGGTCAAGCCAAAAAGTGATAATGGCTATGGTTACGTGATTATTAACGTTGAGAGGATGGAAGACTCTAAATTGAGGGGCAGAATTAAACATGGAACTCAACTAGGTTCAACTTCCTAAATTTCCAGCTCCTCCATCCCAATACTGCCACCAAATTAAGAACCCATCAGTGAGTTAATCCACTGGTGATATTAGAGTTCTCATGAGCCAGTCACTTCCTAAAAGCTCTACTTCCAAATGTGGCTAAATTGAGAGGTAAGCCTTCACATATTTGAGGAAAATACTCATATCTAAACCATAATAACCCCGAGACTGCATTTCTCAGTGTCCTTCAAAGTATCTACTACATGTCACCAATGGAGAGCACAGCTAACTGTGTAAAGATTGTCTGGACTAACTACACTTAGCCCTACAGCCAGTCATGTTTCATCCCTTGCCCCAAACATCAGACTAGTCTCCATAGCTCATGCCCAACTCTGCTGCTCAATTTAGGGCCCTCATTCCCCTACCTAAGCTCTTCATACCTATCTAGCCATATCTATCTATCTATCTATCTTTTTTGGTGGGGAGAGGGTTTGTCTTCTCAGGCCATTTATTTTCTTGCATCATTAAAAGCATGAATGCAATGGTGGGTAACATCTCAAAGCTTGTTGGTTGTTCTCTTGTTTAACTGAGCTGCCTGACCTACATCCTGCATCCTTTAATGATTACTCCTCCAGAGAAGCTTGCCTCCTCAGTCTGATGGCTTCCACATTCTGTTCCTCACAACTATTTACGGATCACAGGAACTAGGTCCAGGCCTTGCTATATGGTGGGAGGTAGGTCCAAACCATTGGACATAAAGGGAAACATTCTACAGATGCTTACTGTTTTACTTTTTAATCACTGTGACAGAATGCTTGACATAAACACCTTAAGGGGGAAAGGACTTATCTGCTCACAGTTTCAGAAGTGCAGTCCATAATGGAGGAGTGAGGCATGGCAAACAAGCAGTTCACATCATGGCAGCCAGAAAACAGCGAGGGGATGCAGGAAGGGGCCAGAGACAGTTACTTCTCCCAATAACATTCTTCAGGTACCTACTTCCTTCAAAGGTCCCATTTCCTACTATTCACCACTTCCCAATAATGCCCTCATACAAGTTAGCGATCAAAAGTAATCATTACCTGAGACCTGGAGGCTCATGCTTGTGATCCTGACTACTTGAGAGACTGAGTCTGGAAGGATCCTGACTCAAAGGGAGCCCAAGCAAAAAGTTCTTGGGACCCCATCTTGATAAAAGATATATGACTTCCATCCTCACTATGAGGGAGATTGAGATCAGGAGAATTGCTATTTTAAGACACCCCAGAGTTAAAAAAAAAAAAAAGATACCCCAAGCAAAAAGAAAACCATACAGAAAAAAGATACGATAGTATGTATCTTAACATCCCACCTACAACAGGAAGCATAAATAGGAAGATCACAGTCCTGGCTAGCACAAATAAAATGTAAGATCCTATCTCAAAAATAACCAGAGTAAAAAGGACTGGAGGTTTTGCTAAATATCACAATAGGTGAATAAAATAGATAGAATGCCTGTTTGCATTCCTGACAGAGGAAAATAGATAACAAGGTGTCAATTTGGTAAGTATAATAAATTCAGTTACTAGTGGTCTGATGATGATGCCATGGGAACTCATAAAAGTGATTGGGGAGAATCTTTTTTGATTGGGATACTTGGAAAGATGTGTCTGAGGAGGCATTATTCGAAACTCAAATAAGGTTCAGAATTCCAATCACCATAAAAGTTAATTTTTTTTAAATTTTTTTGTCAGTCATGGGGCTTGAACTCTGGGCTTGGGTGCTGTCCCTCGGCTCTTCAGCTCAAGGCTATCGCTCTACCACTTAATCCACAGCGCCACTTCAAGGTTTTTTCAGTTTTTGTGGTGCTGAGGAATTGAACCCAGGGCCTCATGCATGCGAGGCAAACACTTTATCACTGAGCCAACTTCCCAGCCCAAAAGTTAATTTTTTTCATGTTTGGGGGCTTGGTAATTAGGTGGGTAAATAGTTAGCTGTCTGGGTGATTTGCTTAGTGGTTGGGTGGTTGAATGGCTAGGTCGAGGGATGATTAGGGGTAAGCACCAATTGTTGAAGTGAAAGGCATAAAAGTTATTTCCATAGTGAAATTTCTTTCTTCTTTTTAATCTAATGTTATCACTTTGTTCTCTTATAGTCACCTGTCATGGGAAAACTGGTAAGTCTTGTCCATGCCTCTTCTAACTCCAAGTATGTTTCTGGGCCAACACTGAATGGATGGAAAGAAACAGGACAGTGCTATTGAGTCCCCATAACCATCTGCATTGCAGCACCAGAGAAGGCCCCTTCCTCAGGATTCTTGACTAGTAAACACGGAGATCCACAAACTAAGGCTTTGAGTAATTCTAGAGTCTCAACTCAGTGGCTCTGGGCCTCTTCTCTATTTCTTTAAAAGTGGCTCTCCTCTCAGCATGGTGCTGGAGCTCCTATATTCTGTCCTTAACAAGGCTCTGAATCTTTTCCCTCCCTTTTATGTTCTGAGAGGCAGGCACTTTGTCCAATCAGTAGCCTTCTGCAGCTATTCTTGTTCCCCGTCCCATCCCATTTCATGTGCTTTCTGTCCACTAAGGGAAAAAAGTCTTACTATAAAAACCTTGACTTCACATGACCTGCTTCATTATTCAGGGAGGAGTTGTTCAAACCAATATTTGGAATTTATCCAAATGACAGTCAGGGAAACAAGGCTTACCCTTCAGTGATGCTGTAAACATCACAGGGTTCTCTTTTCAGAGTAACAGCAGTGGGCCCTAAGCATCCAGGGAGATCCAGGCAGAAGCAGGATGTGCTAGGGCTGGCCTCCAGCTCCCTGCATGACACTCAGAGCATCCATATGGACTCCTAGGCTGTTTGGAATGGATACAGCATGGGGACAGATCTAGCCTGCTGCCTCCCTCCAGACAGGTTCCGAATCCCTAGGATCTCTGCTCTCATCCGTGTCATAGCATAGAACGTAGGAATATGTGCAAAAGAATAAGCAATCTCTCCCATGGTTGAAAGCAAACGAAAGTTCCTTTCAAGGGTAGAGGTAGAGGTTGGGCCTAGGAAGACTAGCCAGGAAGCTTCTCTTCAACAGGCCAATATGCAGTATTATCACACAGAAAGAAAGCATCATCACACAGCAGAAAGCATCACATTTGCAGTAGAAGCCAATCTAAGGAAGGAGAAAAGAGGTCTGGAGGAACAAGACCAGACAGTGGATTTAATAAGCCTAGCCAACTTGTCAAGGCAGTGGAGGAAAGTGCAAAGTAAAAGGAGAAAAAAAAGAAAGGGAAGAAAGAAGGCTGGGGAGAAGGCGTGGAGAGGAGAAAGGCAGAGGAGGCAAGAGATAGGGAAAACAAAGTGACAAGAGGAAGAAGAGCAGAAGAAAGAAAGTCAAAGTCCTAGCCTGTGCTGGTTGGCCTGAAGGACTGAGACAGGCAAGGGCTGTAAAGGTGCTTTCTGGGAGCCTCCATCCACACCAGAGGCCTTGGGCGTGGTCAGAGAGGGAAATGAGGGCTGATGGGACCTGCAGCTCCAAGGCTGACCTTATCTCCATGTCTCACAGTCTGGCTGCGCCTCAGAGTCCTGCCACAGCCTGTTTTTGAAGGAGACACACTGACTCTGAAATGTGAGGGAGAGAAGAACAAAGCTGTGTCGCAGGTGAAGTTCTACAAAGATGGGGAATTACTTGATTCCCCTAACACCAACAGTTCCTTAATCCTGGGGACAGCAACAACGGCAAGCAGTGGCCAGTACAGCTGCACTGGGACGGTGATTTACATATCCCAGCTCACACAAACCTCAGCAACTACCGTGGTTCAAGTCCAAGGTGAGTCACTTACTAAGGACACTTACTGGTAAGACAGTAAGGTGTTGTTGAGTCTCCAGAGCTCAGAAGTTCTCTGGATGACACCCTTCTCTCTGGATGCTATTGATGTTGAACCAATCCATGGTGTCCTGAAGGCCCATGATGCTGTCCAAATATCCCCTCATCCTATGGGGCATGTCTAGAGCCAGGGAAAAGAGGAAAGATTAGGAAGAGTTCTAGACCAGACCAGCCATTCATCTTTCCCCTCTGAGGACCAAACAACCACTAAAGGAGGGGCTTGGCTCTAGGGGAGTCATTTCAGAAGTGCGTGAATGAAGACAAGAGGACGGATCCTGAGGAGCAAACTGTCTCCCACCCGGGCCTCAGAGCTGCAACCTGGGCGATGGCTGGTCTCAGTCTTCCAGACCTCACTGTCCAGTACTCCCTTCATGAGCCCTGGGCCTGTTGTCTCTCCAGAGCTGTTCCAGGTTCCTGTGCTGAGGGCCACCCCTCCAGAGCCCCATGAGGAGAATCTATTGACCCTGACATGTGAGACAAAGCTGCACCCCCAGAAGTCAGCCTTGAGGCTCCTCTTCTCCTTTTACAAGGATGGCTATACCTTGCAAGACAGGGGCCGCCACCCAGTACTCTGCATCCCAAGATTCAAGGAGGAAGACTCTGGGATTCACTGGTGTGAGGTAGCCTCTGAGGGTGGCCAAGTTAAAAAAGAGAGCTACTGCGTGGAGATCATGGTCCAGGGTAAGTGGGTTAAGCGGGGGGAAATATTTCCCAAGGGTCCAGTCATCAGACAACAAGACTCCCTGGGAGCAGAGACAGGAAAGTAGGAATGAGGAAGTCTGGGCCCTGGGTGATTGGGTGGAGATGTCTAATACTCTTGTGCAATCTCAGTTCCTGTATCCTGTCCTGTGCTCTCTCTATGACACAGGGCCACTGGCCCTGCTTTGGAAGACATAGTAGAGCTCCTCTGTGAGTCTCTGAATGGCTCCCTTCCAACCCTGTACTCATTCTACTTGATGGGGAGATCTTGGGGAAACACCTGGGCTCCCTATGGCAGAACAGCTTCCCTTCTTCTTCCCAATGGTCAGTGAAGGATGCTGGGAACTATTCCTGTGAGGCCAAGAGCAGTGTCTCCAGAGAGAAGAGTGAGTCCAAGTAGCTCTTTCTGGATGGTGTATTTTGTCTGAATCAAGCAAGTTGTCAGGGACCATATCTCTCTTCCCTACCACCTACCATAAACAGCATCATGATGGCCCACTACTCAACTGCATGTGAGCCTGGAGTGGGAGGCCTACCCGCTGCACATGGCAGGGAATGGCATGCACCTTGGGGTGGGGCTATGTGGCCATGCAGAGCATGACTCAGCCATGCTGGAGCTTTCCAACCATCCTGCACTCCCATCTCCAAGGCTCCTGTAGGCAGGTAGTTCTTCTACAGCCAGCCATTCTGCCTTGCCTGTGCCTGTCTGGGATTTTTCGGATTTTATGCTCACTGTTCATGGTCACTTTCCCCTCCCAGGTTCTCAAGTCTTGTCCACCCCCACCATCAGCAACTGGCTGGTTGCCTGGCTACCTGGGAGTCTGCTTGGTGTAATGTTCATTGCTGCTGTGCTTCTAGCATATTTCAGACCCTGGAGAAAAGCTGGTTAGTATCTCTTTGGGGCTTTCTTGATTGCTAAATTCCTATGCCAACCACTGCTCAGGTTTTGAGAAGCCAAAACCCAACAGGAACCTGGCAGGTAGAATTTGGATCTTCTCCTCCCATGTCACACAAGGGGGCATGTGGAGGGACACTTACAGCTTCCAGAACATCTTCACTCACAGACACACTATTGCACATGCTCACAATTACACACAGATTTGCACACAGACATACAGCTGCACTGTCAGGCATGAAGAGACACATAAGCCAAGGAATATTTACAAGCCAACTGTGATTTATATTGATGTCCTTTGCATTGGGAAGATGATCTGTGGTTTTGAACATGACTGAAAAGAAACAAGGCCTCCAACTTCCATTAAACGCAGCCAAATTGGTAGAGGAAAAAGAAAAAAAATGAGAGCTAGAGTGCATATGTGCATGCTTGCACACTCAATACTCACCTTTACAATGCTGTTAGGGGAGTATTCAACAGATGGTGACACTTCAGAAAGTAAACATGATAGAGAAAGCTGAGCCATGGCCTTCTTCCAACACTACTGTTTACTAGTTCTGTGGCCTTAGGCCAGTTCATTCTAAGATGCACCAAAATCTATCCTTCTCAGGGATGCTGCAGCGTTCAGGTTAACAAGCTAACGTGCTTGAGGGAGTGTCCCACAGTTAAGTCCTCATTCTAGCCCCAGTGGATTACCCCATCATGTTCCCTGGGCTGCTCTTCCACCTGCTGTTCATTTTCTGATTTCTAAATCAGTCACTGAACATAAAAAAAGGCTTGGCTAAAATTCCAGGTGTAAAAGATTTTTGTAGAGAGGAAGTAAAAACAACCAGATCATTGGCTATTTATTAATTGTGTTATTGCAAATTTTCTTCCTCCACCTTTCTTGGCAGTGATAACTAAGCAGGAATGTTGGATATCAATGAGACACTTTCGATGGCTACATGCTTATTCCCACTCTAAGTGTCATTTGCTTCAGGCCACATTTAAAGGAATGGCAGTCAGTGCCAAAGGTGCTTGGTGCCAATTTATATCTAGGAATTTTAAGTCTACTTGCAGGGATTCAAATGAACTCTACTTCCTTGTCTGTGGAGACAGTGTTCTTATTTTCTAAGTGATTGCCCTTATCAACCCCCAAAGCTAGATTTATTTATTCAAGTTTGTTTAAGTTTGTCCCTCAGTAGAAGGAATTTATAATGTACTTTCTGGGAGCTGAGTCAGCTCACTTATAAAGGAGGATCACCCAGTCATGAACCCAAAGCATCCTTCCCAGACCACAGGCCAGAGTGTCTGAAAGGTGGTCCCCCTAGCCCCAGACCCAGGCTTCTGCCTCTCTGAGTACCCAGTTCAAGTTCATGAGAGGCTTCAATTTTCTCTCTCCTTTTTGATGTAACAGTCTCCACCTATCCAACTTCCCATCATCCCTCTCTTGATCATCCTAAGTCTGGCTAGACTTGCTTAAGTTATTATCTCTGTGTCATATGAGAAAGGTGAGGCTAGATGAAGAGACAACTACAGCGGGGATCACAAATTGAAGATCTGAGAGTCCTGTCGCTGCTGCTCCTGCCAGTGATCCAACAGTGACACAAACGTTTCTATCAACTTGCCTTAGCGTTAAAGACAAGGCGACACTGACAGCCACCTCCCTCCAAGCCCCAGACAAGAGAGTGGAGCCTCTTGAGACCTGTTACAAGGAACAGCAGAGAGATCTTATACCACCAGTAGCATTGCTGCCAACCTGGGAGCAAGTGGACTGCACTGTCTCTCATGTGCAAACAGTGATGGTCCTGGGGATGGTCCTGAAATCCCAGTGTCTCAGGAACATAAATTATTCTTTAGAGAGTCAGGCAGAAAACCATTTTCAAATTTCATGGCTACACAAGAAAGCTACCAACCACCCACTTCAGTCTTCATAGCTTGCTCCAGAAGAGGCTTACCTATTCCAAATAACACATCTACTTCTCAACCAGAAAATATGTCACCAAGAGATCTGATGGCTTGATAGTCTAAGGACAATTGTCAAAACACATTGGCCAATGATGCAATCACTGGAATAAGGATATGGTTGTGTAAGGGATCCATTTCAAAGTAGCACTCACCTACATGTACAGGTTCTGCGTTGTTGGTTCTAAGATGTTTATTTTATTATTGATCAAACCGCCTATAAAACGAAGTTCCATTGAAGTTATGGAACTCTTCATCGGGTGAGAATGGGACACACAGGTCTGACAAATGAGCATTGAAGAAGATTTAATAATGAGCGGCTTGCCTGATTCCCATAGGTGCCCTCTTGGTTTTACAGAAGTGGCCATTTCCACAGACCCTACCTGGTGATTCTGAATCTTGCTTTTAGAGCTAATGAGTATTTCTCAGGCACCATCCAGCGTTCTAAAGTCTACACGTGACACAACTCCCACCCCAGAAGTTACCTTTTAGTTCTAGAAGTATCGGCTTTCACAGAGCCTGTATGCTAGTGGCTGAAAAATCACATGAAATCCAAGTGCATGCTGATGGCTGGATTAACATCTATCTCAGCTGGTTGGACCTAGCTTGGCAAACCTAGCTACTCAGGAGGCTTAGGTCCAGAGGGTCATGGTTTGAAGCCATCACAGGAAGAAAAGTCTACAAAGTTCCATCTCAAAATATAACCGGTAAAAAGCTAGACTGGAGATATGGCTCATGTGGTGCCAGCCAGCAAAGCAAGCCAAGTAAATTGAGCTCCTGAGTTCAAATTCCATTACTGGCAGAAAAGAAAAAGTCTCTTCCATTGATTACATTTTTGGAAAGTTCACCTCTTCCAGCCTGTCTTCTCACCAACCAAACAGAGATAGCACTATCCACCTTTGCAAGAGGACTACAAAGAATATAAGTTACCCAAAAATTAAGAAGGGAGGCTTTCTTAAAAACAAACTGCATGCTGGTCAGTGGGGTAAATGCTTTGCCAGGAAGTAGAATTTTACTTGAAATTTCTGGTCCTGTGTCTGGCCCCTAATATGTGGTAATGTTATTAGCTCTTCCTCCTGAAGCACCCTGTCTGTGTAAGGATGTGACCCTCTCCTTTCTGACCTTACCATATGTGATTTGCATGGAGCCATCCTCTCCTACAGAGGATGTTTCAAAGGAAAATCCCACCCAAAATTAGCCATGTCCAGACCTGTGAGTAAAGTAACCCTGGAAAACAGCCAGCAACTCCACCACCATCCTTTCAGAGCCTCTTGTCCCCACTGCCACACCTGTTCCATAAATACAGTGACATGCTTCTGTGTCTTCTAGGGTCCCTTCCATCCCAGAATCCATCCCCAGCTCCAAATGGAGAGCAGTGTCCACTACATGACAATGGTAAGAACTTCCAGCAGGACCCTGCCTGTCTGCAAAGGCAGAAGAAGATATCTCACAAGAAGTAGGAAGGAGCCCCTCACCAGCACCAGGCCTCCAGAGGCAGAAGCATCCAGGGAAGGGAAATGGCAGCGTCTGGAGAGGGCTTGAGGAACACGTGCAGTACAGCTGGTTGTGGGAGGTGGAGGCAGGAAGGGAGTCAGGACTTTAGGAGAAGGCAGGGAAAAGTTGACATCCCCTGGGCCAAACCCAGCCCACTGCTTATTTTTGAAAACTACAGTTTTATTAGCACCCAATCATACACATTTATTTGTGTATTCTGTATATCAACAGTCTCACTACAAAACTGAATGTTGATGATATGGTCCACAATGTCCTCAGGCTCTGGTAGCTCATGCCTATAATCCTAGCTACTCAAGAGGCTGAGATCTGAGGATTATGGTTCAAAGGATTATGGTTCAAAAGTCCGTGAGACTTTTATCTCCAATTAAGCAGCAAAAAGCCAGCAGTGGAGCTGTGGCTCAAGTGGTAGAGCACTATCCTTGAGCACACAAGCCCAGAAACAGCACCCATGCTCTGACTTCAATCCCCATGACCAAAAATAAGAAAAGAAAATGCTTGGCAATCTGGTTCAAAGCATATCAGAGCTAGGGAGGCAGCTAAGCTCTTCTGAGTGAGGATGTCTACCTATGCCATGGTAGACATCACCTCTCTAATGACAGATTCCCATGCTAGTCATCACCTTGACAGGGCCACTGATTGGTTTCTTTCTTTAAGTGTCTTCAGGACAGTGAAAGAGTCAGACAGGTCCGATTTAAGCTTCAATTTTTTTTTGGCAGCACATCACCAGTATCAGAAAGATGAAGGAGATGAAAGTGTTATCTACACAGAAGTACATACAACCTTGAAAAGGAACAAAGGTGGGTGATCTCAAGAGAGGCCATTATGCTCCAAGATGTTGAGGAAGGATGGTACAGAATCTCTTATCATTTGGAAAACACCTCCTAGTTTCTAAGGATTCCGTATTTATGTACAGTTCCACTTCTTACAGAATGACAGTAGATTTCTCAATATGAAAAGAAATTTAATAACCTCTACTTTGCAGGGCTAATATGAGATTAGATACAATAAACATAGTCCTTAGACCTAAAAGGTTACACTCCAGTAGAAGTCTAGGGTAGCAGTTACTCTAAGAGCATCCTTTGTGTGTCTTTTAAGTATCAGCCTCATCATTGTGATGAAGTCATTACCATTACCAGTTTTGTTTTTTTGTTTTTGGGGGTGAATTTTTGCTGTTTTAGTTTGGTTTGGTTGGGGTTGGGAGGGGCTATTGGTGGTGGTGGTAGTGGTGGTGGTGGTGGTGGTTGAGAAAGTTGAGATTCAGAATCTAAAGCCTAAGGTCATACAGTTTGTGATGGTTGAATTGGGACTAGAACCCCAGCCTCAAGATTCCGACTTCTATTTTCAAATGGAGTAGAAGTGAAAGGAATCTCCCTGGGTTGGTCCATGCTCCATACAGCAAGAGGGAAGACAAGAAAAAAGCAGGGAGAAGATCCGTGAGCACAGATACCCTGACCTGAATTCTCTTTCCCTCATAGCCAGGTCCAATGAGGATTTCCCTGGGAGCCAGAAGGTGAGCAGGATTTTGGTTCTTTTCTCACCCTCTGTCTAATATCTGTTTTCTCAACCTCATCCAACTCTCTCGTAGGACGTTTCTATTATCTACACAGAGGTGAGATGCCCACAGCTCAGGGAGAGTTCACCAAGGAATTGAGTGAAAGAAGTCAGACCTACCAAGATAAGATTCCTCTGATGACTACAAGAATGTTCTCTAGGGCTGGGAAGTGGCTCAGTGGTAGAGTGCTTTTGCCTTGCATGCATGAGACCTCCGGTTCGATTGCTCAGCACCACATAAGCAGAAAAAGCCGGAAGTGGGGCTGTGGCTCAAGTGATAGAGCGCTAGTCTACAGCTTTAGGCCCCATGACCGACAAAAAAAAAAAAAGAAAGAAAGAAAGAAAAAGAAAAGAAAGAAACAGTGTTCTCTACAAGTGATGGCATCCCATTCCAACATATACCCACCTCCTGCCCCCACTGCTTCCCAGCCATCCCCTCCAGCCCCCTCGGTACATCCTCCAGGTCCTGGCCCCATCCCTGAGGGGAGCCTCTGTGCTCTTATGCTAACTAGAACTCCCAAACTGTGAGTTCCTCTCTTAGCAAAAGACAAAGTCATGGTGTGGGAAGGGACAACCCTCATCCCATCCCACCCCCACACTTGGGTTCCAACAGTACTACTGAACTTAGAGCCTGAGGTCTTCTTTCTACATAAATAGAAAAGACCGATTCTCCTTTAATAGACAGACAGACAGACAGACAGATAGATACCTGATAGATAACATACATGCATATACATATATAAATAGCTGATAGATAACCATACTAAATAGGTGATAGATTAGCTAAATAGATAATAGATTAGATAGACTGATACATAGATGCATAGATAGATAGATACATACATACATACATACATACATAGACAGACAGACAGACAGACAGATAGATAGATACATAGGTACACAGATACATAGATACATAGATAGATACATAGATAGATAGAGGGAAGAAAGAGAATGTGATTGGCTTTACCCTCAGAAGAAACAATATCAAACTTGACATCTTAGGACATGCAGCTCCATAGGAATTTCCAACATCTAAGCTGACGCCCATCAGTGACCTCAGAACTAAGAGGACTCAGAAGTTCAGCAAAACCAAAGTCAGCCACAAACAGGTCTGGCCCAAACTATGTTGTAGAATTCTTGGCAACAGGGTCAGACTCTGCAGGCACCAAGGACCCTGCCTTCACCTGCAGCTCCACTCCTCCTCAGACCCTGCTGTTTACTGAGGCTTGCCCAAAGCTCTAGGTTGTGAAGTATATCAGTAAAGTCATTTGCTCTTTACTTGTTTAAAAAGTTACATGGTCGTAAAATGGTTTGAACAACATTGAGATTCCACCTCACCCCAGTTAGAATGGCTATAATCAAGAAATCTAATAACAACAGATGCTGGAGGGGATGTGGCCAAAAGGGAACGCTGCTGCATTGTTGGTGGGAATGTAAACTCGTTCAGTCACACTGGAAAGTAGTATGGAGGTTCCTCTAAAGACTAAACATGGAGCTTCCCTATGACCCAGCAATCCCACTTCTGGGCATTTACCAAACACACACACACACACACACACACACACACACACACACACACACACACACACACACGGCCACACTAAAGCTTCCAGCACAATTATGTTTACTGCAGCATTATTCACCATTGCTAAGATATGGACCAACCCAGAACCCCCTCAGTAGATGAATGGATCAAGTAAATGTGATATATATATATATATATATATATATATATATATATATATATAATGGAATTCTATGCTTCCATCAGAAAGAATGACATCACTCCATTTGTAAGAAAATGGAAAGACTTGGAAAAAATATATGAAGTAAGCCAGACCCAAAGAAACAGAGGTTACATTGTTTCCCTTATTTGGAATAAATAGTATACATCTAGCATAATCTTAGCAGATGAGCAGAATAGCTCATTAGCTATGTACATCTGACCATATAAGATGATGCTAAGTGAAATGAACATGGACACAAGAGGTTTTCTTTGTTATTGTTTTTAATGTGCTATGTGATTTTTTTGTTTCTTTTGTATGTTCTTCCCCCTATGGTAAATCCCCTGTTGTCACTGCATTTGATTTTGGTACCCTGGTATGGTATATACATTTATCTGAATTCCGGAAGGGAAGGGCAACAACAGAATGGTGAGACAAAGGACAAGGGGGGAGCCAATGCAACAGCCATATTCACAAGACAATATGTTGGAAATGATCTGTACAACTGGAGGGGGCGGAATTGGGGAGGGAGGGAAAGTAGGAGAAAAATGAGGGAAGGGGTAACAAGTTTGACAAGAAATGTACTTATTATCTTATGTGTGTAAGTGTAACCCTTCTGTACATCACCTTGACAATAAAATAACAAGGAAAAAAAGAAATATAGTGGTTTGTTTCATATCTTTCATCAACATCAATCATTTGCATTTCCTGACAGCTGGGTCCGTTTCTCACAACAGTCCAACAGTCCATACTCCTTGATGCCCGACAGTAGTTGGGTCTCCTGTGAGACCCTAGCTTGGTTTCACAGGCTCCTGCTCTGGCTTCACAGACAGGGACTACACAAGACTCCATCTCCCTTTCATATGAAGAAGGCACCAGTGTCACCAAAGAGCTACTGGCACTGAACTTCTCACATGGTTTCTCTTCTAGACGGGCAGTGTTGACATGGCCAATATTAGAAGTGCAGCTGCTCAGACCCAGTCTCAGACCTGCTGTATTATAATCTGCATTTCAATAAGATCCCCAGGCAATTCTCATGCACCTTAAAGTTTTTTTAAGTGCTGATTTACCTACAAGATACACTGTAGAAGTAATCCATCCAATCATCATGGGAGCTTTTACCTGTGGTACTTCTCTTGATGAAGACAGAAAGGCCAGGAGAACTAGTAAGCTAACCATGCAAGCATATTTTTCCATTTCTCTTCTGTTCCCTTTTCCTCCTTTCCTTCTCCCATGCCAACACCTTTCCATCTTCTTCCTCATCTCCATCTCTTGTCACCAGTCTAGTCCATGTCCAGAATGTTCTAACACCTCCTCCTCCTGGTCACCAATCAGAGCATTAGAACTGCCTGCTGTGAGGACTGAGCAACACAATACTGACCATCTAGAAGCACAGGGTGGGTTCCTCCCTAGAGATGAAGCTGCACCAGGGCTGGGAAGGTGGCTCAGTGGTAGAGTGCTTGCCATGCATGCATGAGGCCCTGGGTTTGATTCCTCAGCACCACATAAACAAAACGAAAAAAAGCTGGAAGTGGCGCTGTGGCTCAAGTGGTAGAGCGCTAGCCTTGAGCTGAAGAGCTGAGGGACAGTGCCCAGGCCCAGAGTTCAGGCCCCATGATCGGAACCCCCCCCCAAAAAAATCCATGAGATGAAGCTGCACTAGC